AACTTCGGCATCTCCGCCGAGGACGCGCCCTTCTCCGCGGACCCCGTCGCGTCCTTCCTCGGCGCCATCCTCAAGTCCTCGGGCCCCGCCGAACCGGCGGACGCCGAGGCCAAGGACGGCGACGTCGACATGGCCGACGCCAAGTAGACCCAAGTAGACCGCGGCCGCCGCCGCCCGACGCGCAGCCCCGTAACCATCGCTCCGCGCGCCTAGCGCCCCGCGCCGAGGAAGGACGTGAACCGGTCGAAGGCCAGCGGCGCGGCGCCGAGCACGAGCACGACGTCGCGCGTCTCGAGCTGGATGCCCGTGCCAAAGTACCTACGGCGCGCGGCGCGTCCCGCGCGCGACTGGAAGTGGCGACCTACTTGAGCGCGAAGCCGAACTGCTCGGGCGTGAGCTCGCCGCCGTTCGGGACCTTGGCGCTCTCGCAGAGCGCGCGCCAGACGACGCGCGGATTGTCGCTGCGCTCTTCGATGGTCCGGCGGATCGCGCGCGCGATCTCGGCCTTCGGGTCGCGGGCGAAGCGGTAGGTCGTCGACGCCTGCTGCTGCGCCATGGTCGTTCCAGCGGCGGCGCGGCGCTGTTCGTTTCAACGGCAGCGCGGCGCCCTCGATGATGCCGGGCTGCCTTGTTGTTTTGGCGTCCGTGTGCAGCCGCCTCGTCGCCGGAGTCGCAGCCTCGTCGCAGCGCTGGTCCTGCGCGCGCGAGCAAAATTCGAACGCAGCGGCAGCGATGCTCTTTCAGCGGCGCAACGAGAGCACCATCATGCTCTCAAGGGCTGCTTGTGAAATCCGTGAAAATCGCTGCGGCAGATCGACGCCAGACGGTGGACGCGTCGCGCCGCCGAGGCGTCGGTCGCGAGGAGGGCGTGACCCCGCCTACGCGCCTCGTCGAATTACGATGCAGGAGGCGAAGGACGAGTCGAAGACGCAGCGCGAGGCGTGCAGCGTCTGCGGCGCGGAGAGCCGCCGCGAGTGCCCCTGCGGCACGCGGCGCTACTGTTCCGTGAGTTGCCAGCTCAAGGACTGGACGGAGCTCGAGCACAAGCCCGCGTGCCTGAAGCTCCGCGAGGAGATCCCGGAGCGGCCGACGCGGCCGCCCTCGCCGCTCCGGCCCGTCTACGGCGAGCCGCCGCCGCCGCCGCCGCCGCCGCAGCCGCCGCGGCCGACGCCCGAGCAGCGCATGGCCTTCGCCCGCGCCCAGGACGACTCGACGCGGTGCCCCGTCTGCGAGGAGATCTTCGACCCGAACTACTACAAGCACCACGTCTTCCGCGTCTGCTGCTGCAAGCTCATCTGCGAGCGCTGCGACATCGGCGTGCTGAAGGCGACGGCGCCGCTGTGCCCCCTCTGCGAGTCGCCGGCCATGACCCACGCCGAGGAGCTCGCGCTCCTACGACGACGGGTCGACGAGCACGAGCCCAACGCCATGGTCCAGCTCGGCCACAAGCACCAGCGGGGCGAGGCGGGCCTCGAGCGGGACGACGCCGCGGCGCTCGCGCTCTACCAGCGCGCGGCGGACTACGGCGACCTGCGCGCCATGGTGCACCTGGGCCTCGCCTACGTGAATTCGCGCGGCACGCCCAAGGACGAGAGGCTCGACGGCCCCGCGCAGCAGCGCCGCGACCGCCAGAAGGGCGTCGACCTCCTGCGCCTCGGCGCGGAGCGCGGCGACGCGCACTGCCAGTACTGCCTCGCCGTCGCGCTGCTGGAGAAGGACGAGCTCCAGGAGGCCGTCATCTTCCTCGAGCTGGCCGCGGACCAGAAGTACGCCAAGGCGGAGTTCACCGCGGGCGCGTGCCACCTCCAGGGCCTCGGCGTCCCCGAGGACGAGGACAAGGCGCTCCGCTGGTTCCTCCGCGCGGCCTACCGCGGCCACAACGAGGCGCGCCAGGCCGTCGGCGTCATCCGCCGCCACCGGCCCGACGCGCCCGAGTTCGCGCCGGAGGCGAGGCGCCTCGCGGAGGAGGGCGCGCGGGAGAAGCTCAAGCGCGACGCGAAGCGCGCCCAGGCGAAGCACCCGGGCTGGCCCGAGTGGGACGACGACTGGGACTACTGGCACGACGGCGAGGTCGTCCGCTGAGTCGTAAAGTGCCCGGCCGGCCTTTGTGATTCTGCGTTTGTTGCGTGGACTTTTCGGGGGCTCACTCGTATGAAGACACTGCGTTCATAATCTACCCTTGGCGTTTGCGTTCTTCTGCCACAGTGTACGACGTGTCGTCGGTCGGCGGACGGGTGCGGCGCGCGCGCGGCCGCGGGCGGCGGCGGCCGTGCGCGGCGCAGGGCGCGGCGTCGAACACGCTTCGAGCTCGATTCCTCCTCCTCGAGAAGTCCAGCACCACCGTGACCAGCTCGACCACCGCCGACGCGAGCGGCCTGTGCGAGACGATGATCGTGCGCGTCCGCTGCTCGCAGGGCACGTGGCGCATCGAGATTCCGGGACCGTCGTCGCGGATCGGCGAGCTCAAGGCGGCCATCGAGGCGCAAAAGTCCGTGGCGTCGGACGCGCAGGTGCTGAGCGCGGAGCCGTCCGGCGCCGCGCCGCTCGACGACGGCGCGACGCTCGAGGCCTGCGGCCTGGGCGCCAACGGGTCCATGGTCTTCCTCGCCGTGGCCGCGGACCGGCGGGACGACGTCGCGCTGCCGCCGCCGCCGACGGCCAAGGACGACGTCGGCGTCCGCGGCGCCGCGCGCGTCAAGATCGGCGCGGACGGGTCCATCGTCGCGACGGAGTACGACGACTACACGTCGGCCAAGGGCTTCCGGCCGGGCATGGCGGCGCTCGGCGACATCAAGAAGTCGTGGACGCTCACGGACTTCCTCGAGATGGACGACCAGTTCGTCTTCAAGGTGAAGCGCCAGGAGGACAAGCACTGCGCCGCCGTGTCCCTGGACGCCGGCGCGTGCGTGAGCTTCCAGGGCTACGTGCAGCAGCTCGGCTGGCGCCAGCAGCGCGTGGGCTTCCTCTACGGCACCTTCGACGACGGCGAGGCGCGCGCGGAAGCCGTCTACGAGCCGCCGCAGGACTGCAGCGAGCACGGCTTCGTGCTCCTCGAGGACGACAAGGCCGAGGCCGTGGCCCAGCTCGCGCAGCTGCTGGGCCTCGTGCGCGTGGGCTGGATCTTCGCGTGCCCGCCGCGCGAGGACGGCTTCGTCTTTTCCGGCGAGGAGGCGATCCAGGCGGCCATGGAGCAGCTCGAGGCCGCCGACGGCGTCGCCGAGACGCCCTACGTGTCCGTGCGCGTCACGGTCAACGAGAAGGGCGAGGCGAACTTCGAGGCCTACCAGGTGAGCCAGCAGTGCATGGCCATGGTCGCCGAGGGCGCGCTCCAGGGCGGGACGAGAGCGCGACGTTCCCAACTTCAAAGGCTCCTCTCTCGGCCGTGTTTCACTCGTTTCGGCTGATTTTTGGACGGGCGATCATCCCCCGGAGCGCTCTCGAAGCGTGGATGCTTTTTCTGGAACGCGCGCGCGCGGAACACCCACGTTGGAGCGACGTCGCATCACGCTCGTCCCGCCCAGGCGCGCTCGCGCCGGACCCGGACGACGCGGCCGCGTGCCTCGTCCACGAGACCTTCACGGCCATCGTCGAGGGCAAGCGCGCGGCGAACGTGAACACGAACTTCTTCCTCTGCAACGTGCCCGTGAAGCAGCACACGTCCGCGACGTTCGCCGCGACGTTCCCCAAGGAGAACCGCATGATCCCGCAGACGCGCGACGACCTCAAGGTCGTCCTCAACAAGGCCAAGTCCACGGGCGCGAAATTGGGCGACGCCCTCGCGGACTTCGGCGCGCTCCTCTTCCTCATGGGCTTCCCCCAGATCTTCGACAGCCAGTTCATGCCCGCGGTCTGCGCGTCCGTCGTCGACCGGACGCTGCCCCTCGACGAGGGCTACGGCCTCATCCTCTACTCCTTCGCGGGCATGGACTTCTAGGACCCGCTAAGAGCTACCTTAGGGACGCGAGCCGCGCCTCGAGGATGCGCCGCCGCTGCTCGCTGTCCGGCGCGGCGGCCGGCGCCGCGGCCGGCGGCTTCGACGCGGCCGCGGGCAGCTGCTTCGCGACGAGGCCCGCCATGCGCTTCGCCGACTCCCAGGGCGACGTCGCGGAACCGCCGGCGCCGTGCGCGTTCGCCTTGCGCGCGGCCGCGGCCGCGACGGCGTTGCCGGACGTCGCCGACGGCCGCGGCGCGCGCAACAGCGTGATCTGCAGGTCCCAGCGCTCCTCGACGTCCGCCGGGTCCGACGGGCTCGCCGCGCGGCTCCTCGGCTCGGACCGCGGCCGCGCGCGCCGGCTCCGCACGTCGAGCTCCACATCCTTGCGCGCGCGGAGGATGGGCACGACGAGGCTCGCGAAGCCGTGCTTCACCTCCGGCGCGAGGGACACGAGCGTCAGATTCGACGGGAACGTCGCCGGGATCTGCGCCGTGTCCGCGACGACCTTGAGCCACAGGGCGACGTACTTGGCCTTGCGCGTGTCCTTGGTCCACTCGTTGATCAAATGCGCGACGACGGGCGAATCTAAATCGAAGTCGGGCCGCGGGTGCCGCTCGACCTCCTCGGCCCAGTCGAAGGGCGACCGGGGCGTCGAGGCGCCCGTCGGCCGCGGCGGCGTCGCCGGGTGCGCCGCGGCCCGCCGGAATTTCAGCGTCAGCGGCCGCGGCGCCGCGCCGACGCGCGCCGCAAAGTCCGCCTCGGAGATGCTCGGGTCCAGCGCCGACCCGGCCAGGGCGAGCACGAAGTCGCCCGCGCGGACGCCGAGACGCGCGGCCGCGCCCTTGGCGCCCGCGACCCGCAAACCGGCGTCGGGCGTCGCGCGCACGGCGACGCCCAGCGGCCCCGCGCCGAAGCTCGCGTCGAAGACGCCGTCCTCCGCCGGCGCCTTCGGCGCCTTGGGCTTCGGCGGCGGCGTCTTCGGCCTGGGCTTCGGCGGCGGCGGCGCGGGGCTCGGCGTCCGCCGGCCCGAGCCGTCGCTCTCGTTGAGCTGCGCCAAAAGGTCGGCGACGCGCACCTCCGCGCGGACCGCGCGCTGCTCGAGCGCCTCGCCCCGGTCCGCGTGGCGCGCGGCGTCGTCGCGCGCCGCGGCGAGCGCGAAGCCGTGGGCCTCCCGGAGCTCGTCGCGCGCGCGCACCGCGTCGGCCCGGTCCCGCGCCGCGGCCGCCGCGGCGTCGCGCGCGTCGGCCAGCGCCGCGTCGGACGTCGTCGTCTGCGACTTGAGCGCGGCGCGCAGCGCCTCGCCGTCGCGCCTCGACGCCTCGAGGGCCGCGATCGCGTCCTCGAGCTGCGAGCTCGACGCGTCGCGGTCCGCGCGGAGGCCGTTGGCGCCGACGACGAGCTCCCGCTCCAGCGCCGCGACGCGCTCGGCCTGCGCCGCGGCCCGCGCGTCGGCGCCGGCCGCGGCCGCGTCGCGGTCCGCCGCGAGCGCCGCGAGGTCCCGCTCCAGGGCGACGCACCGCGCGTCCGCGGCCGCGGCCGCCGCGGCCGCGACGCGCGCCGCCTCGGCGGCCTCCGCGCGCCGCGCCTCGCCGCTCCGCGCCTTCTCCTCGAGCTGCTTCACGTGCTTCCGGAGGAGCTTCTTGTCGGAAGTGACGCGCTGGACCTCCGCGGCCTTCTCCGCCGCGGCGGCGCGGTCGCGGTCGCCGGCGGCCGTCGCCTCGGAGAGCTCGCGCCGCAGCGTGTCGAGCGCTACCGCCGCCGCCGCGGCGCCCGACGCCTGCTCGAGCTGCGCGGCGCGCGACCGCTCCAGGGAGTCCTCGAGCGTCTTCACGTGCTTCCGGAGGAGCTTCTTGTCGAGCTTCTCCTTGTCGACCTTTTCCTCGAGGGCCGCGGCGCGCGCGTCGCCCGCGGTCGTCCGCGCCTCCGAGAGCCGGGCCTTCTCCGCCTCGAGGGCGGCGACGGCGGTCCGGAGGCCCTCGACGTCGCTCCGCGCGGCCGCGGCCTCGGCGGCGGCCGCGGCGTCGGCGGACGCCTTCTCCTCGAGGAGCTGGGCCCGGTCCTCCTCGAGGGCCGCGACGATGCTCCGCAGGTCCTCGACCTGGCTCGCCTCGGACGTGTCGGCCTGCAAAGCGACGATCTCCGCGGCGGCGGCGGCCTTTTCTTCCAGGAGCCGCGCCTGCTCCGCCTCCTGCGCGGTCACGACGCGTCGTAGATCCTCGAGCTGGCACGCCGTCTCCTCGGACGCGCGGGCGACGGCCCGGAGCGCGTCGAGCTCCGTAGCGGTGGCGGCTCGTTCTTCCAGGAGCCGCGCCTGCTCCGCCTCCTGCGCGGTAATAACGCTTCGCAGATCCTCGAGCTGGCTCTTCGCCGCGACGAGCTCGTCCGCGGCGCCGGAGCTCGCGCGCAGCGACTCGAGCTCCGCGGCCGTCGCGCCGACCTTCTCCTCCAGCGACGCGGTGAGGGCCTTCAAATCCTCGAGCTGGCCCTTCGTGGACACGAGCTCGTCCGCCGCGCCGGAGCTCGCCCGGAGCGCCTCGAGTTCGGAGAGCGTCGCGGCTCTCTCTTCCAGGAGCCGCGACTGCTCCGCCTCTTGTGCCGTGATCACGCTTCGCAGATCCTCGAGCTGGCTCTTCGTGGAAGCCAGCTCGTCCGCGGCGCCGGAGCTCGCGCGCAGCGACTCGAGTTCGGAGAGCGTCGCGGCTCTCTCTTCCAGGAGCCGCGACTGCTCCGCCTCCAGCGACGTCGTCAAGCTGCGCAGATCCTCGAGCTGGCTCTTCGTGGAAGCCAGCTCGTCCGCGGCGCCGGAGCTCGCTCGCAGCGACGCGAGCTCCGCGGCCGTCGACGCCTTTTCCTCCAGGAGCCGCGACTGCTCCGCCTCTTGCGCCGTGATCATACTTCGCAGCTCCTCGAGCTGGCGCTTCGCCGACGCGAGCTCGTCCGAGGACGCGCCCGCCGAGCCCTCGAGGTCCGCGCGCGCGGCGCGCTCGTCCGCGAGCGCCGCCTCGGCGTCGGCGCACTTCCGCTCCGAGGCCCGGAGCGCGTCCTCGACGGCGGACGCGCGCGCGGCCGCCTCGGCCGCGTCGGCCCGCGCCGCCGCGGCGTCGGCCGACGTGCCCGCGCGCGCCTCGTGCGCCGCCCGGTCGGCCTCGAGCGCCCGCCGCTCGGCGTCGTCGCATTTCGCCGCGAGCGCGTCGCTCTGCGACGTCGCGACCTCGAGGGTCGCGTTCGCCGTCGACAGCCGGCGCTCGAGGTCCGCGGCGGACCGCGTCGCACTCGCCGCGGCCGCCTCCGCCGCCTCGAGCGCGGTCCGCGCCGTCGCGAGCTCTTGCGCCACGTCGAGCGCGGCCCGATCTGTCGCGGCCTCTGCCTTGGTGATCGCGCGCTTCTCGGCATTCGCCGCGCGCTTCTCGGCATTCCACGCGCGCTCCTCGGCGGCGGCGCAGCGCGCGGCGAGGCCGTCGTCGGCCTTCGCCGCGGCCTCCTCGAGGCCCTTGACGTGTTTCCGGAGGAGCTTCTTGTCGGCCGCCGCGCGCGCGGCCTCGGCCCGGGCCTCCTCGACGGCCGCCTCGAGCGCGGCGACGCGCGCGGTCTGCTCGGCGGCGGCCTCGTCGCGCGCCGCGGCCGCGAGGTTCGTCGCGTTGGCTTCGGCGAAAGACAGTTTCGCCGTCGTCTCTTTCAAGGCCTTCTTGAGGATTTTGATGTCCGCCTTGGCCTGCTTGAGCTTGGCCTCGGCGGCCTCGCCATCCTCGGCCATCGTGGACGGCTCCGCGAGTGTCCTGGGCACCGCGTTTGGCCACACGCCGCGCCGCGGCTTCTCGGCCCCAGCAGAGCCGACCGACCGGAGAGCTGCGGCAACTTGCACAGATCTTGCACAGCAACCAGCTCGGCGGAGCTCCTCTTCGCATGCTCTCTCTGCTCTTGCTCGCTATGTCCGCCGTCGCTGCCAGCTCTGCATCGCGCGGAACAGTCCTCGTGACCGGCGGAAGCCGCGGCATCGGTGCGGCTTGCTGCAAGCGCCTCGCGCGCGATGGCTACACCGTCGTCGTCAACTACAAGAGCTCGCAAGGCGAAGCAGTCGACGTCGTGGGCGAGATTAATCTAGAGGGCGGCGACGCCATCACGCTGCAAGCGGACGTGTCGTCCGAGGCGGGCGTCGTCGATATGTTCGCTTCGCTCGACAATTGGATCGGGTCGGGCGGGGTCCCGCCGCTCACGGCGCTCGTCAACAACGCGGGCGTCATCGGCGACAAGGAGGCGCTCGACGCCGTGACGCCGGCGGCCTTCGAGGCCATGATGGCGACGAACGTGCTCGGGCCTTTGCTCTGCTGCAAAGAGGCGGAAAAAAGAATGGCGCCCGGCTCGGCCATCGTCAACCTGTCGTCCGGCAGCGCGTACATCGGCACGCCGCTGCTCTACAGCATGTCCAAGGGCGCGCTCAACTCCATGCAGCACGGCCTCATCAAGCCCCTGGCCGCCAAGGGCATCCGCATCAACACGGTGTCGCCGGGCGTCACGGACACGGACATGGTCGCGGGCATCCTCGACGACCCGGAGCGCAAGGCGACGATGGAGGCGCAGATCCCGCTGGGCCGCGCGGGGCGGCCCGAGGAGATCGCCGGCGCCGTGGCCTACCTCCTCTCGCCCGACGCGGCCTACACGAGCGGCGCGAACATCCGCGTCGCGGGCGGCCGCGGCCCGGGCACGACGCTCGGCTAACCTTAGTGCTTCTTCTTCCAGCCGAGCTTCGTCGCCTTGTCGCGCGCCCAGGCCTGGGGGATCTTCACCATGGACGGGAGGCCCGGCGGGTAGCCGTGGGTCTCGACGAGGCGCGACGCGATGCCGTCGTAGGTCTTCTCGTCCATCTCCGGCCGCCGCGCCATGACCCAGCAGTAGCTCCGCGACGGGTAGCCGACGACGAACCAGGAATTGTCGTCGTCGAGCGGCTCCGGCGACTGGTCGATGACGAGGTAGGGCATCTTCAGCGGCCAGAACGGCGAGACCTTCCAGCCCGCGGGGTTGTCCGAGACCCAGTTCGAGCCCCGCTGCGGGATGGACGTGATCTTGCCGTCGAAGGCGTTCTTGTTGTACTCGAAGGCGACGTCGACGCAGTGCGCGCCCTTGCCCATGGTGTAGGTTTCGATGGCGTTGTGCGCGCCCTTCTCGAAGGGCGTCGGCATCGTCGCGATGACGAACCAGGCGCCCATGAGCTTCGGCACGTCGACGCGCGGCACGGTGTCCAGCGTGCGGGAAGACGAGCCGCCCATTGCTGATTGCTGCGACGCGACGCGAGAAGGCGCTCGAGCACTGCGTCACGCTCGAGAGCTGCGCGGCATGTCCTTCAACATGCCGCAGCGTTGCAGCCCGGCAAAACGCTCGGCGTCTGGCTGCCCTGCCGTCGCGGCAGCCCACAGACCGCTTGCAATTATGGGCAGCGCGACGTCGGTCGTGCGGAAGCCGCTGCGGGAGCAGGACGCGGACCAGCTCGCGTCCGCGCTGGCCCACGACCAGCGCCTCGAGGAGTACGCCCACGTCGTGCGCGCCAAGGGCCTCACGGGCGCCATGGTCTCCCACATGAGCGCCGACGAGGTCGTCAAGGCCCTGGACATCGCCGACGCGAGCCTCGCGAACCACCTCGGCGCGCTCCTCGCCTACGAGAAGTCGGCCAAGGCCGCGTCCGAGGCGCACCGCGCGACCCTGGAGGCGGCGGCGGGCTCGCCGGTCAAGGAGGATGACGCGGAGCACGAGATGGAGGGCCAGCTCGCGCTCATGCGCCAGGTGCGCGAGTCCATGCGGAACGGCGACGCGTCGGACGCGCACCTCGCGGAGACGGCGATCGGCGTGTCCGTCGAGGACACGCCGCGCGAGGAGGAGGCGCAGCGCGTCGCGCCCGAGCCCGCCGCGCCGACGCCGTCGAAGCGGCTCTCGAACGCGCAGCTGCGGAGCAGCGCCCTGGGCGGCGAGGGGCACACGCCGCGCGGCGGGCTGCGGAAGGAGGGCGAGGCCCCCGTCGTCGACACGGCGACGCTCCCGCCGGACGCGGCGCACCACGCCAGGGCCATGGAGGTGGGCGACGTCGCCGACGAGGCGTCGAACCTCCAGCACCTCAAGGAGCTCGCGTCGACGCGCGAGGATTCGCTCGTCGCGCGCATCATCGACGAGGTCAGCGGCGACTACGACGGCACGGACCGCGACGAGTTCGAGGCGCTGTTCAAGAAGTACAACCTCTTCCAGAAGGCGGGCATGGACGAGCTCCGGGGCCAGCTCTTCGCCATGTTCGACCGCGACGGCGACGGCAAGGTCGCCGTCGACGAGCTCGCGGGCGCGCTCGCGGTGTTCCACCAGGGCGACCGCGACGCGCGGCTCCGCCTCGTCTTCCGCGTCTACGACGCCGACGGCTCGGGCTCCGTCGAGCGCGACGAGCTCGGGCGCCTCATGCGGTCCATCGTCGTCGACACCGCGCGCATGGTACGGACGGCGCTCCAGTGGGAGGCGGACGTCGTCGCGGCCGTCGGGTCCGACCTCAACGCGGCGAAGATCGACACGGAGCAGGTCACGAAGACGGGGCGCCTGTCCCTCGTGGAATTCTCCCAAAAGGAGCAGAAAAAAAAGGGCAAGAAGAAGGGCGGGAAGAAGAAGAAGGCCGCCAAAGGTCCGCCGAAGCCCGCGACGGTCGACGTCGCGCTCGACGGCGCGGTCGGCCACTTCGACATCCGCGTGGCGAAGGACGAACTGCTCAAGCTCCAGGAGACGGGCTCGAACCCGGCGCTGGAGCAGCAGCTCCTCGACGCGCTCGTCGCGGATTGCCTGAAGCACAACGACCGCGACGACGACGGCGCGCTGAGCTTCGACGAGTTCAAGGGCTGGGCCGGCGGCTCGACGCTCGTCGACGAGCTCATCTCCCACTTCCACCTCTTCGACGCCGCCGGCGCGCCCACGCCGGCGCAGCCGGCGGCGCCGCCCGCGGACGCCGCGGACGACGAGGACCCGCTCGGCGCCGCGTTCCCGGACCTGCTCTACCCGCCGACGTCGTCGCCCGACGCGCCCGCCCAGTCCTTCGACGTCGTGCCGGGAACGAAATCGCGCCAGACCCATATGGTGCGACGATAGGCCGGGCGCCGCTCTAATTTGTTCGTTCGGCGAGCGCAGTGCGTATTTGACCACTCGACGATCTCGACGCAATGGACGCAATTGACGCGCAGGGCGACAAAAAGGGCTCGGGGGACGGCGAGATGAACGAACCTGAGTGGATGGTGAAGAAGCGCGAGTATGAACAGCGCATGGCCCGAGTCAAGAACGCCAAGCTCCGCACGCTTTGCACAATTTGCTCGGCGAAAGCGAAGCTCCCATGCCCATGCGGCACCGCGCAGTATTGCTCGGTCGCGTGTCAAAAGGTCGATTGGCGCGAGCGGGGCCACAAGAAGGTCTGCAAGGAGATCCGGGCGCGGGCGGAGGCGCCGACGCCCCCGCCGTCGCCCCCGCGGGAGGTGTTCTACGGCCCCGCGCCCCGATCGCACGCGGACGAGATCCGCGCGCGCATCGCCGCGGAACACGAGGCGGCTCGCGCGCGCCGCGAGGCAAATCCGGAGCGGGAGCCGGAGTCGGCGCGATTCGGGGGGCGGTGCCCGATCTGCTTGGACGAATGGGATGTGAATACATCACATGGGCTTATGATCTGTTGCTGCCGAAGGATCTGCCAATCGTGCGAGCGCAAGATCGGCTTCGACGCGTGTCCCCTCTGTCGGATGTCGTGGCCTAAATCCGAGCAAGAGCAGCTGGCTCGGCTTCGTCGCCACGTGGAAAATGACGTGCCCGAAGCGATCACCGTGTTGGCGAGAATGTATCGCGATGGCGACCACGGCCTCGCGCAGTCTTATAAGAAGGCCGTGAAGATTTTCAAACGCGCCGTGGAGCTCGGAAACGTGCAGGCGACGATTGAACTTGGGTACATGTATGAAAAAGGGCGCGGCGTCAGGCTCGACCTGAAGAAGGCGAGCCAGCTGTACCGTATGGCCGCGGACCGGGGTAATGCGAATGCACAATTCAACCTCGCGTGAAATTGCAAGGAGAGGGACATATCGAGGAAGCCATCACGTTTTATCGGCTAGCAGCGGATCAAAAATTTACCGCGGCTGAGCACATGCTTGGGAACTTCTATGCGCGCGGCGAAGGCGTGGAACGAAATTATTACGAAGCCAGACGCTGGTTCGCACGCGCAGCCGATGGCACCGGTCATATGGCACCGGCATCCATGCACAACCTCGGCAATTTCTACCTACTAGGTTATGGCGTGGAATGCGATATTGAAGAAGGCAGACGCTGGCACGAGCGCGCGGCCGCCATGGGCCACGAGGACGCAATAGACACACTCAAGATGCTTGACACGCGATACCCGCGATCTGGCCTGGGCCGGGCGCCGACCAGCTAATCTCTTGTTCTACGGGAAACTTCGCTTGATCAGGGACCTCGATGCGCGAATCGCCGCCATGAACCGCCCATGAACCCTAGGAGGCCTCCTAGACCGCATAAGAGCCACTCCTCCTTTTACTGGGGTTGCGTGGAGTCCTCTTCGTCGTCGTCGTCGACGACGGCGCGGCGGCGGCCGCGGGCTTTTTTCTTGGGGACGACCTCCTCCTCGGACTCGTCGTCGAAGACGAACTCCTCCTCGGAGTCGTCGTCGTCGTCGTCGCCGACGGACTCCTCGTCGTCGTCGGACTCGGCGACCTTGCGCTTGGGCGCCTCGCGCTTCGCCGGCTTGCGCCGCTTCCTCGCGGGCGCGGCGTCCGAATCGTCGCCCGCGTCGCGCTTCGCGGGCGCGGCGGCCTCGACGGGCGCGAGGGGCTCGTCGCAGACCTCGCAGACGCCGGCGGCCGCCGGGTTCTTGAAGGTGCAGGCCGGGCAGGGCCGGAGCGCGCGCGCGCGCGCGGCGACGTCGTCGTCGTCGTCGGAGTCGCCCGCGTCCGGCGGGCCGCCGTAGGACGTCGTCGAGCCGCTCGCGCGGTCGGCGCCGTCGGCGGCGTGCGTGTCGGCCTTGGCGTAGGACACTGAGGACGTGTCCAACGCCGCCGCGCGGAGCGCGGCGTCGCCGATGGACGACGGCCCGTCGTAGCGCGGCCACGCCGCGCGCGTCGCCGCGGCGTGGCGCTGCGCGTCGTAGGTGGTCGACGCCACGTCCGGGTCGTAGGCGAACAGATCCGCGAGCTCCGCCGCCGTGAAGCGGCCCGCCGTCGCCGCGTCGTCGACGACGCCGTCGTTGACGTCGTGCTTGCCGAGCTGGCGCATGAAGATCTTCTCGTCGACCGTGCCCGCGCCGAGGAGCCGGTAGACGTGGACGGGCCGCGTCTGGCCGTCGCGCCAGACGCGCGCCATGGCCTGCTCGTCCGCCGCCGGGTTCCAGTCCGGGTCGAGGAGCAGCAAGCGGGAGGCGCCGACCAAGTTCAGCCCGCAGCCGCCCGCGCGCGTGCTCAGGAGGAAGACGAAGGCGTCGCTCCGGGGCCGGTTGAAGGCGTTGACGAGGCCCTGGCGCTCGCCCGCGGGCGTCGACCCGTCGAGGCGCGCCGCGGGCCAGCCGCGCGACTCGCACTCGCGCGCGCACGCGTCCAGCGTCACCGTCGACGTCGACACGAGCACCGCGCGCTCCTTCGCGGGCCGGGCCCGGAGGTGGGCCAGCAGCGCGAAGGCGACGTCGAGCTTGCCGCTCGCGGCGCGGTCGCCGTCGGCGCCGCGCGTCGCGAGCGCGCGGAGCCGCTGGATCTTCGCCAGAGCGTCGACGTCCGCCGCCGCGGCCGCCGCGTACGCGGCGGCCTGGCCCGCGCGGAGGCGGCAGCAGACGACGTGGACCGTCTTCGGCGGGAGGGACGCGCGGCTCACGTCCGCCGCCGTGCGCCGGAGGTAGAAGGCCGCCGCGCGCGCGCGGAGCGCGTCCTTGGCCTCCGTCGCCGCCAAACGCTTCTCCCGCGACGCGCCCCGGACCGCGCCGGCCTCGATGGGCCGCGCGACGTCGCGCTTGAAGGCCGCCAGCGGCCCGAAGACGTCGGGGTTCACGACGTCGGCGAGCGCGTGGAACTCGGACAGGTCGTTCATCGCCGGCGTGCCCGTGATGAGCAGCCTTCGCTTCGCGCGGCAGTCGCGGATCGCTCTAGCGGTCTTGGAGCCGGCGCCGCCCTTGAGGCGGTGGCCCTCGTCGAAGACCAGCAAATCCAGCTGGAGGTCGCCCTCGATGTGGCTCGCGAAGTAGCGCTGGAACGACTCGTAGGAGATCGCGAGCACCGCGCACGACCGCCGGCCGTCCAACGCGCGCCACCGCTCGAGCGCGGTTTTGGCCGACTCCGTGCCGCCGTCGAGCGCGCCGCCGGCGGTCTCGAGGCAGGCGACTCAGGTCACGTTCGACGACACGCGGCCGAAGAACTTGGCGTCCTCGTCGGGCCACTGGCCCACGAGCGACGCGGGGCAGAGGACCGCGGCCTTGCGGACCTTGGGCACGTCCGCGTCGCCGTTGACGCAGGACCCGGCGGCCTTGACGAGGAGCCGCAGCGTCGTGAGCGTCGCCAGGGTCTTGCCGAGGCCCATCTCGTCCGCGAGGATCGCGCCGCAGCCGCCGCGGGGCTGGCGGCCGCTCAGAGCGCGGTAGAGGAACTTCGCGGCGTCGCGCTGGTGCGGCCGGAGCTTCCTGGCGAGCGGCCCGCGGATGGCGACGCGCGGCTCGGCGACGACCTCGAACTCGTCCTCGCCGGGCGGCGCGGCGGCGCGGGGGGCCGGCGCGGGCGCCGCGAAGGCGGCCTTGCGCGGCGGCGGCGCGGCCGACGGCCGCGGCGCGGCGAACGCCGTCGGCCGCGGCGCGGGCGGCCGCGGCGGCGGCGCGGCGGCGCGCGGCGCGGGCGCGGGGGCCGCGGGGCGCGGGGGCGCCGGGCGCGGCGCGGGCGGCGCGGCGCGCGGCGCCGGCGCCGGCGCGGCGAAGACCGGCTTCCGCGCGACCGGCGCCGGGGCGCGCACGCGCGGCGGCGCCGCGGGCGCGGGCGCGGGCGCGGCGCCGCCCTTGCGGCCCTGGATCTGGATCTTGAACTTGGAGAAGTAGGTCTCGTACTCCTCGTCGTCCTCGAACGTCGGCGTCGAGACCTTGACGCTCGCCCGAGTGATGATCGAGCCCGTCGCCACGTCGATTAACGTAAGGCGATCCTGGCTCCCGTTCTCCTCGCGCTTGACGACGCCGTCGATCCAGGTCGGCCGCTTCTTCGGGCCGGCCTTGGCGTAGAGGCAGTCCCAGTCGCCGCAGCGCCCGCCGGACGGCGCGGCGGGCGCGGCCTGCTTCGGCGCGAATGGTCGCTTCGCCACGGGCTTAGACGACGACGGCGCGGCACCGTAGTTTCGACCGGCTGGTAGCTGGAAGCGCTTCATGATTTCGTAACCTGAAGGGAGGGTGGGGTGAGACTTCGACTTGGGCGAGCGCGCGCGCGCGAGCGCGCGCGCGCGAGGGGCGCGCGACAAACTTCGCGCGGGCGGCTCGTTGGCTCGGCACGGCGCGTGACGTCGGTCAGAGCCGCGGCAAGGATGTTGGTACTCTCAAAAGCGCGCGACGGCGGTCACGGACGCGGCTTTGCACAAGACGGTGAGCTTGAACAGCAAAGTTGTTATCTGCTTTACAAGACCAAACGATGGCTCATGCGCTCGGCGCGCACGGAGGAACCGCGCGGCACCATTCTCGCCGCACCCACATGTTGTTGCACTTCCCAATCACCCGTAGGCGTCGAGATAGGCCTCGAGAAAGCCTCCAGAAAGTCATCCAGAACACGCCGGACGTCGTCCGCTGCACCTCCCGCAAGCCTCGTCCGCTTCGAACTTTCTTTTAGGAACTCGCCGTCTTCGGCGGCGCGTTCTGGGGCCCCATGCAGAGGAAGCCGAAGCAGGGCTGCTGGGGCGCCGTTTTCGGCGCGCCCGGCGCGGCGCCGGGGCACCGCGGGGGATCGGCGAGCTGGCGGCTCGAGTCTTCGGAGTCGCAGGCCGCCGTCGAGCCGCAGGTGGGGTCGACGTCGCCCCGGTCCGGCGCGCCGCCCCAGAGGAAGCGCGCGACGGCGACGTCGCCGAGCGCCGCGCGCTCGAGCGCGAGGACGTCGACGCTCCCGTCGCCGCAGGACGCGAGCATGTCGGCCTTGTCGAGGAGCGTCGGCGTCGCCGCCGAGCCCCGCGCGTGCGCCGACGGCCGCGGCGACGCGAGCGACGAGCCGCCGGACGCGGACGCCTCGCGGCTCGGCGCGGACGACGACGCGGAGTCGAGCGGTTCGTCCGACGGGTCGTCGCCGTCGGTCGGCGGGCCCGACTCGACCTGCGCGGCGTCGTCGAGCAGCCGCGCGGCCTCGCGGGCCTCGTCGCCGCTCAGCGCGCCGTCGCCGTCGTCGTCGAGCGCGTCGAGGCACAGCCGGAGCCGCTTCCGCGGCGACGCGTCCCCGAAGAGCAGGAACGCCGCGGCGCCGAGCGTCTTCCGCGACACGCCCGCCACGCCGCCCACGGCCGCCGCGGCCTCGAAGGCGCGCCGCAGCGCCCAGAAGACGACGGGGTCCGACGACGCCTCCAACGCGCGCTTCACGTCCGGCCACCGCAGGGGCGCCTCCGGTGATCCGGCGCCGGCGACGTCGACGGCGCGCCGGATCGCGGGCCAGAGGCGCCCGCCCGCGGGGCCCTGGCAAAAGTCGTCGCTCGCGAAGTCGCGCGCCGTCGCCGCGGCGGGCGCGCCCCGGTCGACCGCGGACGCGACCTCGCGCCGCGCCGCGTCGAGCGCGCGGTCGTCGAGGGGCCGCCGCGGCGACCCGAGGCCCCGCAGCTCCGCCGTGAGCGCCTCCGCGTCCAAATCCACGACGAAGTCGCTCAGGACCGAGTACGCGACGGCGCCGTTCGCCCGGACGTCGTCCGCGGCGACGGAGCGCTTCTGGCGCGCGGCCCTGACGGCGCTGCGGCACGTGTGGCGCGCCGCGCCGCAGGCCGCGACGCAGGCCCGCAGGATCGCGGACGCGCACGGCTCGTAGTCGCCGTCGTCGGCCGCCGCGCGACGCGCGGCCGACGCGTCGAGGTCGCCGCAGGACGCCGAGTTGGGGAGCGTCGCCGGCGGCGCCGGCGGCAGGGCGCCGTGGCTCGCGACGCGCCGCCGCGGGGGCGCCCCCGCGGCGTCGCCGGCCGCCGCGCGCGCGCGCCGCGTCGCGCCGCAGGCCTCGAAGCAGTCGTCCCAGATGACGATCAACGCCGTCAGCGGCACGGCGTCGGCGAAGGCGCGGCAGGCCAGGCGCGGCGTCAGCGTCTCCAGCGCCAGCGCCAGCGCCTCGGGGCCCACGGCGTCCGCGAGCCGCGGGTACGCCGCCGCGGCGCCTGGGCAGCAAAAGGGTGCGAAATTCCCAACTTCAAAGGCTCCTATCTCGGTCGTTTTCCGCTCGTTTCGGCTGATTTTTGGACGAGCGATCATCTCTCGGAGCGCTCTCGAAGCGTGGGTGCTGTTTCCGAAACGCGCGCGCGCGGAACACTCACGTTGAAGCGACGTTGAATCACCCTTTTGCTGCCCTGCGCGGCGCCGTCGGCGACGGCGCGGCCGCACGCGTGGAGCCCGCCGCCGCCGAAGCAGCCCAGCGGCATCAACGCCCGCTCCAGCAGGCCGCGCAACAGGTGCGCGGCCTGGGCCTCGCGCGCGAAGAGGAGCAGCACCGCCGCGACGGCCGCGACGTCCCGCAGCTCCTCGTCGGGCTCGCCGCGCGCGCGGTCGCCCCGGCCCTCCACGGCAAACGCGCCGACGACGCGCCGCATGCTGCCCTGGAGCTCCTCGGCGTCGCGCTGGGCGACGAGCTCGACGATGGAGCCCTGCCGCAGCTCCGCGACCGCGCGGCGGCACGCGGCGGCGATCGCGACGCGCGACACCGCGCCGAGCACCGCCGGGCAATGCGCGGGGCTCGAGGCCTCGCCGCAGGACGCGGCCCAGCGCGCGCCGATGCGGTACCGCGCCTCGGCGCCGCTCAGCTCGCTCTGGGACGACACGCGCGGCGACGGCTCGCGGGCGTCGCCGCCCCGCCGCGGACCGATGACGGCGTCGAGGAAGCGCCGCATGGCGTCCGCGCGGGCGTCCCGGCCGCGGCCCTTGGAGGCCGGTGTCTCAGACGACCCGCGGCGTGGATAAACGTCGAACGACGCGTCGGGCTGATAGGATTGGGGCGATGGGCCGTCAAAACTAGCAAGCGAATGAGATCCAACGTTGTGGTCTGCACCGTTGCCACAGATCGCTGAAACGTCGGCTTAAGTTCAAATGGATACGTGCCGTGAATAACGAGGCTCTCCGGCGCTGCTGAGACACCCCCGCCGCCGCCCGCCGTCCCCGCCGCCGGGACGCCCGGTTGGGAGCCATGTACACCACCAAGTTTATGAACAAGAATGTGACGGTGGACAACGGCCGCTACATCACGGTCGGCGACCCCTACATCGGGACGAAGGACAAGCTGCCCCTGCGGTGGAAGGAGAAGCAGTTCCACGTGCCCCAGGTGCCGAGTAACGCCGGCGAGGGCTACTTCGGGTTCAGCGGCAAGGCCTTCTCCTACCAGAGCGAGCTCTACACGGAGCAGCGGCCCTACATGAAGACGCAGCCGCCGGACAAGCGCAAGCTCGGCTTCGGCACGCACGACGCGAGCCGGCGCGACGAGTTCTCCCAGACGATCCGCACGGAGCAGTACCGCGAGACGCTCAAGAAGGAGGGCCGCGCGAACAACAACGGCTACGACGAGGACGCCATCGAGGAGCTCATGAAGAAGGAGAACGCAAAGGTGAAGAAGTTCGTCGAGACGAAGAAGGAGATCGGCAACCTGTACGACGTCGGCCGCTCCATCCACACGGAGTTCGACCCGAAGAACGGCCGCGACCAGTTCTACTCCATGAAGCACGGCTACACCTACGAGAAGCGCATGGGCAACAACCGCACGGCGTCCCAGGACATCGGCGACGGCGCCTGGAACTTCAAGTACTCCAAGCCCGAGTTCTCCGCGCCGAGCCAGGTCAAGAACTTCTTCGACCAATCCCACCTCGACATCGGCGGCCTCTAAAGCAGCGCGCGCGCTCCGGTGTAAATCTACCCGTCCGTCCGCCTACCGTGGCGATCTGCCAGTGAACATTCAAGTTGCGAACATTGACTCAGTCGGTCGGACCCGTGCCAGTGCGTGCGCACCTTGACGATGTGTCTCGGCGTTGACCACCTTCGCTATTTACGAATCTAGCCCGAGTAGCGGCCGATGAGCGACTCGGGCGGGCGCGTGTCCATGACGTGCGGGTTCGCGTCCAGGTACGTGCGGAGCGTCGTCTCGCGGTCCACGAGGTACGTGTCGTCGAGGAAGCTGTCCAGCGCCGCGGGCCCCGCCTTCGTCACGGCGAGCACGCAGTGGCGCAGGTAGCACGCGCAGGGCCGCAGGCCCGAGTCGCGGGACCAGTCCCAGATGCTCGGCACGTGCGCGAGGTACTTGCGCTCGTAGGTCTCCCGGCCCCAGCGCTCGACGAAGGCCGCGTCGCTGCCGCGCGTGCAGAGCACGCCCTCGCCGCCGGCGCCGCCGTCGAGCGCCGCGAAGGGCGCGTCGGCGAGGGCGAACTCCTCCTCGCGCGCCTCGAAGCGCGCCCACGCGTCCGCGTCGACGTCGACCTCGAACGCGCACGCGACGAAGGACGCGTCCGCGCAGGGCTCGGCGCTCAGGGAGCTGAACTCCTTCGTCGCCGCGTCGGCGATGCCGCGCTCGAAGAAGATGGACGCCGCGTGGCCGAAGACGCGCCGGTAGCCGCGCACCCTGACGAGCCGGAACTCGTCGAGATCCGGGAACGTGAGGCGCGCCGATTGCTCGCTCAGCAAGGAGCCGAAGCCGAGGATCGTCGTGCGGCCCACGCGGGCTGTGGACGCGACCATGCTCTGAATTGCCACTTCAAGAAAACGCGTATCAAGCAGCCAAAGCCCGCACTGAACCCCGCCGGTAGGCTGCCGCTCAGCCGGTGGCAGCTTTGAACGCGCCATGCCGTCCGACTACTCCGGCGACGAGGAGAGCAACTACGAGCCGAGCCCGACGCCCGGGGACCGGGACAACCGCAAGGAGAAGACGCTCACGAACATGCCCTACGACGAGGCCCTCGAGCTGTCCCAGGTGAGCTGCCCCCGGGGGCGCGCGCGCGGCGCGGCCCCAGGAAACGACAACCCCCGCGCGTAGGATTCGACGGCTTCCTCGCTGGCCGAGGCCAAGGGCGGCGGCGGCGCGCCGTCCGTGGGCGCCAAGGGCTTCGGCGACGACGGCAAGTCCGGGCTCGGCGGCGGCGGCGAGGAGCGGCTCACGAACAACCCGTTCGACGAGGCCTGCGACCTCGACGACGAGGACGACAGCGTCGACACGACGGAGGGCCTCCAGCAGAAGATGTTCGCCGCGCCGAAGAAGGAGGCGCCGCGGCCCGGCGCGGGCGCCAAGGCCGAGCCCGCGAAGGCGTCGGCCGCGCCGGCCGCGCGGCCGCCCGCGCCCGCGCGCGCGCCCGCGGCGACGACGACGGCGTCCGGGCGCATGACGGGGGGCGACGGCGGCTCCGACAGCGACGAGAGCGAGGAGTCCGGCAAGGGCGGCGGCGGCGGCGCCGCGTCCGCCGCGCCCGCCGTCGAGGGCGCGTACAACGCCAAGGACTACAGCGACCTCAACGTGTCCGCGGACGTGCGCGACCTCTTCCAGTACATCGGCCGCTACAACGCCCACGAGGTCGAATTGGATTCGACGCTCAAGTGCTTCATCCCCGACTACATCCCCGCGGTGGGGGAGATGGACGCGTTCATCAAGGTGCCGCGGCCCGACGGCGAGCGCGACGAATTGGGGCTCCAGGTCTTGGACGAGCCCGCGGCGGCCCAGTCCGACGCTACCGTCCTCGAGCTCCAGCTCCGCGCCGTGTCGAAGAAGCAGCACGGCGACGTCGCCATCCGCTCCATCGAGCACGCCGCGAAGAACCCGCTCGAGATCGAGCGCTGGATCAAGTCCATCGAGGATTTGCACCGCTCCAAGCCGCCGCCCCAGGTCAACTACCGCAAGGCCATGCCCGACATCGACAAGCTCATGGAGGAGTGGCCCTCCGAGTTCGAGGACATGCTCCGCGGCGTCGCGCTCCCGACCGCGGACCTCGAGTGCTCGCTGCCCGAGCTCGCGCGCATCGCGTGCTCCATCATGGACATCCCCGTCTACGACAACCTCGTCGAGTCGCTCCACGTCCTCTTCTCCGTCTACCTCGAGTTCAGCGACAACGTCCACTTCGCGGCCGCGCGGACCGCGCCGCCGCAGGGCGCGTGAGCGCGCGTCGTCCGGCCGCGCGCGCGCGAAGCCTCCCTGGCGCGCCGCGGCGCCTCCCCGTTTAATTCTCATCGCGAGTCTTGTGGTTGCCAACTCGCGTTACCACGGCCCTCTAGGCGTCGCGCGACGTGCGCCAGGAAGTGAGGACCGACCAGAAAATTTCCGTCGGGAGGGCCAGGAGGTTCTCGAGGACGCCCGCGGGCGGGAAGGCGCGCCCCTTCGCGCAGAGGCAGCGCAGCATGAGGAGCTGGACCCGTGGTTCGTTGGCGTAGCGCTTCCACGAGCCGGCAGCGTAGATCTCGTCAAGCAGCGCGACGACGCTGGCAGTTTTGAGGATTTTTGCTTCATTCTGTTGAAATTCCATGCTTGTTTGGAGGCTGACAGCAAAGTCGCGGGCAGTTTTGTTTGAAAAACTGACAGCGCGAAGGTCTGCGCCGTGAGCAAGCAGAAGGCGCACGGTGGCACAAGTCTGATGGTCGCCAAGTTGTCGGTCATTGGGGAGACGCGGGTCATCAACAGCAACCATAAGGGGAGATCGACCGGACGACAGGTAGTCGACGCGCGCTCCATGCTTGAGGAGAAGAGCGATGACGCCGGGATTGCCCCGGATAGCGGCGGCGTGCATGGACGTCCAACCCATACCATAGCCTTCATAATGTACGTCTCCCCCACGCCGGAGAACTTCGCCAACGATCTCTTCTGAGCAGGACGCGGCCGCCGTCAGTAGATCAGACGGTTTGACGCGGGCGCCGGCTTCGAGCATCGCGTAGAAGCACGCGCTGTCGCCGCGACTCCAGCGAAGGCAAAGCGCTAAGGGCGTGTTGAAATGAGGAAAAAGATGATCGGTCCGATTCACGTCGGCGCCGTGTGCGATCACACATCGCACGACGGCCACATCTTGGGCCGTCAGCGCGATTTGGAGGAGACAAAATTGATCGTCGCTGTCCTTCGCATCGACGGGGCCCCCCGCCCGAAGCCACTCATCAACGATATAGACATCTCCCTCGTGCGCGGCCACAGCTACATCATCGGGGAGGAACTCGTCACTCTCCTCCATCGGTGGCGGCGCGTGCCAGCCCGCAGGGTCGAACATCGCGTCGCGCCTCGTCGTCTCGACAAAGTGTGGCAGCTCGCCAAAACGCAGACGCTGTCCCGCGCACTACTTAGCTTTATGCATATCCCGCCGGCGGGAGATGTTCTACCCGTCCATGCTTTTACGGGTTCT